CAACATTGCCTATCGCGAGGAGCATGGCATTGTGCGACAGGACTTCTTACAAATCATGATGGATCTGATCAAAACGGAAGCTCTTACGATGGAAGAGATTGCTGCGCAAGTGTTTGTATTCATCATTGCAGGCTACGAGACCACTTCGACGACCATGACGAACTGTCTGTGGGAGCTGGCAGTGAATGAGGATATACAAGATATGGTGCGTGAGGAAATCGTGCGGGTTATGCACGATCACGGTGACCAGCTAACATATGGTTGCCTCAAGCAGATGACCTACTTGGATCAGACGCTGAAAGGTGAGTGGTTGGAGAATTGGAGGGAATTATTTTTTAGATTTCGTTATTTGAAACAAATTCATAAGTAGTGAATGAAACTTCAGAGTTTTAGCATGTTCTTAAGTTTAATTTATTTTGCACGTACACATACGCGTACATATGTATGCAATACGTTATCCGTGCAAGAAATCAAATAGTTGTTTTTTGTCCATTGCAAAACCGGTTTGTACTCCGCAAACACTTAAGCGACATTGTTTGCAGCTATATTTGATGCACAAAGGCAATTAGAACCCTGGTTTCGCTTTTGCTGAGACCTTGAGCGCAATTTAGCTAAGTGCTTGGTCAGGCATAAAATTGTGCAAACAAACGAATTGAAAGCCAAACAAAATGGTTAACGATACTTATCAAAGTGGATAGTTACTTACTTGCTAAATGGAGTACAAATAAATGAATTGAAAAAAAAAATGTACAAGTGCAGCTGAGATACATATGTACACTAGGGTAGTCTAAAACAAGTAAAGTCGGAATTTTAATGCTCGCACCCCTCTAGGATTATTCTATATCGAAAAAATATACCCCTGTTTTTTTTTTTAAATCAAAATATATTTAGAGGTCGCTCAAAGCGTTCAAAGTTCTCCACGTATTTTATATGGGGAAAGAACAACTTTTCGTAGAAATGATACGGAATTCTTGAAAATTAGTATTTTTCGATCAGAAACCTCTCTTCAGGAGACTCCCAATAACAATGCCCAACTGTTTTTTTAACCATTTTTTAATACCAACGATTTTTTATTTTTTCCCCCATTGCATTTTCTGGGGGTTTTGACGGACCTATAAAATATAGTTGCTATAAAAAAATGGTTAAATAAATAATTGGGTAATATTATTGGGAATCCTCTGAAGAGGAACAGAGTTTTGCCGATCGAAAAATATTGGTCTTCAAGAATTCTATACCATTTCTACGAAAAGTGGTTTTTTCCCCATATAAAATACATGGAGAACTTTAAGCGCTTTGAGCGAACTTTAAATATATTTTGGGTATATGTTTTTCGGTACAGAAAAATCCATAAAAGCATAGAAATTCCCACTTTACTTTTTCCACATGCATTTTTGGACCACCCTAATCTACATACATACTACATATGTATGTAAATAACTATCCAGGTTACTAATTTATAGTGTTGGGCGGCTTTTCCACTTATGTTAAATTTTTTCTCAAGTATAACAAAAACCATGCTTTAAATTTTGGCATTGACACGTGAGAATAGAATCTAAGCTTTACCTCTACACAGTTTTTATAGGAATCTCGGTCAATCCGAATTTGTAAGAAATATCTCTAATAGTAAAATACTTATTATTATTTTTTACTATTTATTATTATTATTTTATTTTCTTTTTGTAAGTCTAAGGAATTAAAATTAAAACATAGCATTAAAATATTACACCATTTGGAAAACCACTTTCTACTTTTTCCCTACAGAAACTCTCCGCAAGCATCCCATCGCACCCGCATTGAAGCGTGTGGCCTACGAAGACTACAAAGTACCCGGCACCAATTTCATAATCAAAGCCAACACTACAGTCCTCATACCATCCGAAGCGATACAACACGATCCCCGCTACTATCCCGAACCTAATAAATTCGATCCAATGCGTTTCACACCCGAAGCTATGGAAGAACGCCACCCGATGACATTTTTGCCATTCGGCGATGGACCACGCAATTGTATCGGTTTGCGGTTCGGTCGCATGCAAGTACTCATCGGCTTGGTAATGTTGCTTCGTAAATATCGTTTTAGTGTGGCGAAAACGACGCCCATACCGTTAGTTTACGATAAAGCTATTTTATTGCGCGCGCCAAAGGGAATGGTGGAGTTAAAGTGTGAACGAATTGTGGAGGAAAGGTGCTTGAGTAATGTGGCTAAGGCGTCGGCTGAGGAACAGCAAAATTTTGTGCAGAGAATTAGCGAGCAACGTGAGCATGAAATTACAAAGGAAGAGAGAAATAAATAGCGGAGCAATAAAGTGGAGTTTGGGAGCGAAAGAAATGAAGATTGACTTTGAATTTTGATACTTCATAGATAGAAGTTTCGAAGGGTACATAAATTTACAAAAAATATATGAACTACATATGTACTTGTCGAAATATTCGTTGGAAANTAGAAGTTTCGAAGGGTACATAAATTTACAAAAAATATATGAACTACATACTTGTCGAAATATTCGTTGGAATATCATATGTATGCATAAGGCCACATTTAGAGCAACGAATATGGATATTTATTTTTATTATGCTTTTTTAATAAATGAAATCGTTCGAAAAACTTTTTAAAACTTATTTTATGTAAAAGTTGATTTTTTTTTATTTAAGGGTTTATTTATAGAAAAAAAATTAGATTTAGGAAAAATATTATTGTTATGTACATATAACTATTAAAAACGAACTTCGAAATTGAAAAAAAGTTAAGCGTACTTTTTTATTTACAATTTATGACACTGCAGCAAACGGAAGCCGAATAACTCCTTATGTACATATAATTATTTTGTATTGAATGTACTACTGATTGCTGAAACGGTAAATAAAATTTTACACGAATACCAACCCAATGTATGGAAAATACTTATAAACCAAGAGCTATTCTAATTGCATACCACAAAATTGAATTTCAACCATCGGTTGGATTTACTACAGTCAGATATTTCTTCCAGATCACCAATTTTCGGGCACATTTTGTAAAAAATATGTAATACAAATTTTGTAGGAAAAAATGTGAAAAATCGCGCCTCAAGTCTTTCTTTCAGCCCAAAAAATTTATATAAAGATGTGCTGTAGAAACATTTTTAGGTCTCCAAAAGATAGCTCCAGACATGCTCTATAGACCCACAAGTTTTTGTGAAAATTGTACAAAAACTTTATGAGAAATTCGCGCTTGAAGCTTTTTAGACAAAAATACACCGGTCGTACGACATTTTTGCAGTTGAAGTACCGCCCAACTGCCAGCAGCCAGGACTCAGTTTTAACATTTTTCTGAATTTTTGTGAGCAACTTTCAACCATCGGTTGGATATTCTACAGTCAGAAATTTCTTGCAGATCCACAATTTTCGGGCACATTTTGTAAAAATTATTTAATACAGATTTTTTAGAAAAAATGTGAAAAATCGCGCCTCAAGTCTTTCTTTCAGCCCAAAAAATTTATATAAAGATGTGCTGTAGAAACATTTTTAGGTCTCCAAAAGATAGCTCTAGGCATGGTCTATAGACCCACAATTTTTTGTAAAAATTGTCCAAAAACTTTATGAGAAATTCGCGCTTGAAGCTTTTTAGACAAAAATACACCGGTCGTACGACATTTTTGCAGTTGAAGTACCGCCCAACTGCCAGCAGCCAGGACTCAGTTTTAACATTTTTCTGAATTTTTGTGAGCAACTTTCAACCATCGGTTGGATATTCTACAGTCAGAAATTTCTTGCAGATCCACAATTTTCGGGCACATTTTGTAAAAATTATTTAATACAGATTTTGTAGAAAAAAATGTGAAAAATTCCGCCTCAAGTCTTTCTTTCAGCCAAAAAAATTTATATAAAGATGTGCTGTAGAAACATTTTTAGGTCTCCAAAAGATAGCTCTAGGCATGGTCTATAGACCCACAATTTTTTGTAAAAATTGTCCAAAAACTTTATGAGAAATTCGCGCTTGAAGCTTTTTAGACAAAAATACACCGGTCGTACGACATTTTTGCAGTCGAAGTATCGCCCAACTGCTAGCAGCCAGGACCCACTTTTAACATTTTTCTAAATTTTTGTGAGCAACTTTCAACCATCGGTTTGATATTCCACAGTCATAAATTTCTTGCACATCAACAATTTTCGGGCACATTTTGTAAAAAATTTAATACAGATTTTGTAGAAAAAAATTTTAAAAATCGTGCTTCAAGCCTTTCTTTCAGCCCTTATTTAATATAGAGAAATCGAGGAAAAACATGATGCACATATAATTCTCTTACTAAGGTATGTGAATATTTAACATTTATGTAGAATACGACTAAAATTGTTTATTTTTAATTCTCAAATAAAATTTTTTATTTTTTATTTTAAAAACTTCGATTTTCATATGCTGAAAATTTCTATACGCATATTTTTTCACTACATTAAATAAAGTATGCTTGTATGTATAAGTAACTTGTGCTTATTTTAAGAACTGCAAGTAAGTATGTATATAGTATAAATAGATTTAGATTACATTGTATAAGTAGTACAATCGTGTAAGTGTGCATACAAACACATACATATGTATGTATACTTAAACGTTCAATTATGTGTCTCACTTCCATCAATATTGCTAATTTCGTATTTTTCTTTGATTAAGTGCTATTTACTTTTGAAATTTGAAATTGTCTCGAGTGCTTTAAGAATTATGTATATATGTATGCATTTTTAAATACATACATAATTTTTTTATGTATATATTTGCGATCATTAACATCGGTTGATATGCTTTCTGGCAACGGAATATTTTATGATTAAAAAGAGTTTTTCCTTTTTTCTGTGTTTTATTTTTATTCTGTTGCTTTATTTGAAATAACCATTAAATAATCGTAAATACTAATTCTAAAAGCAACTAATTGTGTACAGCTTGCTCGAAACTAAGATTCTTAAAATTTTAAAAATTATACAGTAAATACATACATAAAGCAAAATTAGTTTATCCAATTTTTTTATTTTGATATACCAATAAATTTTGAAGTTAAGTTTTAATATCAATTTTATATCTGATCGCAAAAGGTCAAGAATTTTAGATTAATTTTTTTAGGCAGTAGCAATATTATCACTTGCCCTTTTATTAACAATTGGATGGACTTTGTTTCAATTTAATTTTTATAGCAACTATATTTTGAGCAAAGTGCAAATTTCGTCGTAGAATTCGTTTATTGCATTATTTGAGTTTTTAATTGATTGTTCACCTGTGTTTTCTACGAACGCAATATGTATTACATACTTTAAAATTTGATATTATTATTTTTTTTGTTTACTTTTAGTATTCGTTTATTCAATTTTCGTTTTCTTCAGATTTTTTAAAATTGTCTCCCTTTTCTCCAAATGTTCTATGTAAACATATGTGGAATGTTAGTTTGTGTGTGTTTTTTCGAAATTGGCATTAATAATTGATATGGCTGCTGTCTTTTCAAAAGCTTTTAAAAAATCTTTACTAAGTACCCGCAAATTTCTTCGAGTATTAGAACCTAACCTTAAAAAGTATATATTACTACATTACATAATTTCTGTTGTCACCAGCACGCTAAACTGCGTGACTAAGTAATATATTTAAAGATATTTAATGCCATTCTACTGGCTACTACTAATTTTAAGGAAAAACTCACTACTTTGTTCGTATTTTTTTTTTGGCTGGCATCGTTTTACATATTTTCCAGTTATTCAGTGATTTTTGTTTTATTTGTGTTAATGAAATCATCATGCGCTCCGCTAGCCATTTACCTTTTTAACGAATGCGGCTCACTTTCTATAAACACTTGCGCCAGCGTTCTCCCTCACTTAGCAGGCTTCGTGCGTCGCGGCAGCTCTAATGAAACACGCGTTGCATCACCACGATTGGGCTGTTTGCTGCGCAGCATCTGCTCGTGCACATACAACAACAAACCGAGATCGCGATGTCCAGCCTGCCAGGCTATCTTGAAAGCCGTAGCGCCATCCTGCAAAAAAAATAGTAAAAGAAAATTAAACTCAAAAACTTGTTTGCATTAATCTCTCTTCCACTCACCACATCCACTATTAGCGAATCACAATCAGGCTGTGACAATAAATGCTTGACAATATCCGTGCGTCCATGCTCCGCCGCGCACATCAGCGCCGTGCTACCGTCCTCGTCCTGTATGTTAATGTCAGCGCCAGCGGCCAACAGCAGCTCCACCATGTCGTAGTTACCATGGGAAACAGCCAGCATCAATGCGGTTTGGCAGTGCTGTTGTGAGGGGACACACGTTTTGTTGTTTTTGTTTTTTTGGTTTTCGGAAGCGGGGAAAAGTTATTGAAATTTTAGATTTTAGGCCAATTTTTTGTTAAAATAATTTTTTTGGGGAAAAAGAAAAAGCACGCACATTGCAACACATATGAGTTCCACTTTGTGTCCCATTTGTTAAGCAGTTGCTCGGTCATTACCTACCTTCTTGGCTCGTATATTGACATCGGCCATCTGGAACAGTCGTTGTACGACTGTGCGATGCGCAGCGTTTTTCAGCTTTGCCAATGAGACGAGCATCACACAAGTGTATCCAGCGTTATTCATTTGATTTACATTGCAAACCTTTGAATCGAGTAAAATGGATACGACGTCAAAGTTGCCATGCGAGACCGCATAGTGCATTGCTGTATTGCCCTGGAGGTGGGTAAGAACGATAAGAGAGAGAGAGAGAGAGAGGGAGAAGGAGTCTTAATAAACCGACTGAAAAATAGTATTTGAATGGACCTCTTTACGAGGCGTTGCATGCACAAAAGTTCCCACTCACATTAGCATCCACCATTTGACACAGTACTCCAGCAGCGCCACCGACATTTCCTCAAAGCAGTCCAAGTAATCCTCTACCTCATGCGGATTTGCCTTTTCGGTGCTCGAAGCGCGGAACCATTCCTGTTGTATGATCAATTTAGATGACTTCAAGCTGGTCGCCGATAAAGACTTTGCGTCAACTTTCTTCAATAGTGAGTTATTGATGGTTCTCAGAGCGTTTAGCATCTCAACAGGCGGAACGAATCTATAATTTTTATTAATCAAATTTAATATGTAACCATTCAACGAATTAGCGGTGCTTACTTTTGTCGTGGCTCCGCCTCAACCATTGCCAATTTCTGCAGCAGCGCCTTGGATGGTAGGCGCTCCTGCACCTCGCGCTTCTCTTGATTCAACTGCTCCCCTTTCACCTCCTCCTTTTTTGCCGCTGTTGAGGTTTCAATTTTTTCCTCTTGCTTGCTTGAATTTTGACTAGATTTCAGCGTTGTAGTCTTGCGACGCGCACCCTTCGAAACATCCACATCGACCAAAGTATCCTCCTTTTCTTCGCTTTCCTCAGCCAGACACTTTTGTTGTTTCCAGTGTGGACTCCTCCTTCAACTTCTCATTGAAAGAGCTCTCCAGCGAGCGGTACGGTGAAGGGCCTTCTTTGTGCGGTGCTGGTGAGGCATCGCGGACCAGCTGACGCTGACGCGCTTCTCCTCACGCACAATTAGTCCATCGAGGCTTGGTTGAGCGGCGTAGTCTCATCAACTTGGCTAGTATCTAGCGCCTCAGCGCGTTGTTGACTGGCGTCAGATGCGCGGCGCGAACTTGCGGCAGATGATGGGGCAGGATAAGTGATTGCTTTGGGCGCGCAATCTTAGCGCCGGCCGCGCCAGCTCCGTTGGTGGGCTCAGTGATGAAGCTTTGTGTTTCGCTAGCCGATTCGGGTGGCAAAAAGTGACCGATGGATGGCGGCTTCTCATGCAGCGAACTGAAATTAGAAGGCGAAATATTTATTTAAAAAATAATTTTAATTTAACAGATTCTTCACTACTCTTTACATACGTCAGCAGTAGCGCAGAGCAGCCACTCACTATCAGCGGATAGCAAGTGAAACTGCTTAGACCAGAAAACATTTATGGACTTCTGCGTTGCCTGGCAGAGTTTATTTTCCCAGAACAAATGTTCGTCCACTAATTATAAGACGATTTTAAATTGCCTTAATAATAACAGCAAAAACAAATTGGCCGCACAACAATCATAAACAATTTTCGCACATAAAATTTGAATAACTAAGAAGCACTGCAGCAAAAGAAAAATAATTCAAAAAAGCCAAGTACACGCGTGTGCGTGAGTGTAGTGCCGTTGAAGCTTTGCTGCCGCGAACTGCGTGACCAGCACTTGAATCGAGCTGCTTGAGCTGGAGCTGCTGGGACACTTTTGCGGGAGAGAAAATTACCTTGAAGGTCATTGCAGCGTATGCGAGCGTAACCATGGTACAGTGGAGCATAATGAGAGAAATTTGAAGACGATAGATGGCGGACGAAAAAAAAAAATCAAAACAGTGCTGCGACTATATTTGATAATCCGCCGTTAATCATAGATGAGGTGATGGCTTAAATCTACCGAGGTTATAAGTGCTGTACAGTTATCTCTTGTCACTTATCAGCTTCAATGACAATAACGAGGAAAATATTTGTCTAAAAGACGGAACGACCCACTGCCTGACTTCCATTTTTCATGCATACCGAGCATACCTTTGCACGGCGCATGCGCCATACAGTTGTTGAAAATAAATATTTGGCCGCTAAAATGCCACCGCACGTACACAAATAGCTGCTTGAACTGGAGTGGAACAAAAGGTTAGTGGAGCAGGTCAGGGTAATGAAGTGGGGCAGCGTACATCGCCACACAGCCACCGCAGCATCGCAACAAACGTGTGTGTGTATATGCGCTGAAGGGTGTGTTGTATATAGACAAATAGCAGCGTAGTCACCAAGTCATTTGCCTAGCGAAGGCACAAACCAGCCGCACACTACTCACCACACGTAGCGATACTTGCGCCACACACTACTCACCTCTGTGTTGTCTTCGCTGCTTGTTTCTCCGGCGTTGTTGTTATGGTGTACGTATTCTGTCGCTGGAAGGGCCGCCGCACCGGACTGGGACTAGGTGGTATGTTTTTGCGACGCGGTATGCGTGAGTCCATGGAGGCGCTGCGTACTGGTGGTGGTGGACGCGGCTTAGGCGATGGTGGCGACTGTGGTGACAGAACTTTCGAGAAATCTTTGGCCAAATTCTTTATTGCGTCCTTGCAGGAATCACAGTAATTATCCGCGCAGGCGATGGAGATATGCGGCTTGACGACATCACCACAACCAATGTCGCGTTTACGCACCGATTCAGTGTTTGCCGCCGTGTGGCGTATAGGCGCAGGCGGTAGGGTATTTATACCGTAGTCAACAGTACGCGGCGCGTCAGTATTGCTGGCAGTTGTGCGCGTTACCGCTTTCGGCGGCGCAGGCTTTTCCTCCCTCTGAGGCGGCGGTTCAACAATGACCACAGGCGGCGGCACATATTCCTCGGTGCTGGTTTGTGTCGCGCAGAGTCGTATCAGATCGCGCGTGTCCGTTTGTCGCGTCTGCCGCTCTACTTCGCTCTGCGCACTGACATGACGCTGGTCCGGTGAGCATTGCACGCCGACAGCGTGCACATAAGTGGTCGCGGTTTGGCTGCCAGTGTTATGTACTGGCACAGGTGTGTACTGTGTGCCCGTGGATTTGGATATCCGACCGAGTCGTTCGTGCTCGCCCAACGAAAAGGTTTTGCTACGCAGAAATCCGGGTGAGTCGAGTAATTTCAGTGAGACTGACTTGACTTTAATAAAGCCGGGGTCTTCGGTACTGCAGCCTATGCTGCGCTTCACAATGCGGCACTTGTCACACAGCGGATCCAATATGTTGTCCTCCGAACAGCCCATAGAACGAACTTCCGGACGACAGCTGACTATAGCTTCCCGTGTTTGGGGGCTGGCCATGACACTCACCGAATTCTTAAGCACCTTCGGCGCCGTTGTGGTCTGCACTCCACTGTCCACACAACGCGGCACGTGCATTTGTGTGCCCACGTTCACTGTCTGCTTGAGCTGCTGTAGCGCCCGTAGCTCCTCATAGCGCCTTATGGCAATTTGTGTATGTTCTTCCATTTCCCATTGCGAGTGAAGCGTTTCGGTGATGCTGCGTAGCTGCTGTGCGGGGCTTGTGCCCACACTACGCACCATTTGTATCGGACTGCCGACTGCGATGTCACGCGTCGCATGCAGCCCGCACATGGTGCCCACATCGCGCTTGAGTGTGGCAGACGCGCGCAGCTGACGCTCGGAGCTGCTCGAATTGGCGCGCAGGCGAGAGCCTAAACTCTCCAACGAGACCGGGCTGATGCGTTGCGGCGTGAACTGCACTGGAGAGCCATTTTTTAAACTTGCCGCTGGGCTGGGTGAGGGGGACGGACGCGGCGCTTCACGTGCACGCTGCAGTTCGTCCTCCTTGCGCTGCAGTGATTGCTGCAGTCGCTGCTTTTCGTCACGCAATTGCGTCAGCTCGTGCTGAAAGTAGAACAAGTAAGAGAGAAAGCACACTTTTGAAGCTTAAAATGCAACTCACCTGCAGTTCGGGTATAGATTTCACTTGCTCCTCCAAATCTTTCATGCGCTTCAAGCTCAGCGCCATCTGCTGGCGTATGCTAAACAGTGTTTGTGCGTCAGTAGCAGCGCTTGTTTCCGCGCCATTCGTTGCTGGCGGTGATGCAAAATGCGGTGCGGCGTTTTCATCAAACACTGGCGCCTCACCCTCCGACTGCGATGGTTTTCGGTCGACATCGTCTGTGTCTATCAACTCCGTTTCACCATTTGGTGGACTCAGTAGCAGCCTTCTTGGTTGCGGTGGGTGACGACGTGGCGGCGGTGGTGGTGGCACTAGCTGTTCCACTGGCGACTTGGCGTTCGCCGCCACAGTGGCCTGAACATATGACTCATACTGCTGCTCGGCGGGCGAGAGCTTCTGATGAACGGGTAACGCGGCCGCGGCCTTGGCTAGGTAGCGCGCCGTGCGTGGGGACTTGTTGCCAGCGACGCACGAATCTGCATTGAGAGGAGAAAAAGAAAAAGTGTCAAATGAAATTGCATTTGCAATTGAAAGTAGATTGCACACACATTTTTTCTTATCATTCGGCTTAACTAAAATAATTTTGATGCGCAAACGTTCCATTACCGCGAACAGCGGACAACTGACGAGCGCGCTACCATTGCACGCCGTCGAGAGCTCAGCTAAATTATGTATTTTTCGGCTAATTGCAGTAACCGCTTCTGGTACGTTCGCGGTTGTTATTGCTTTGTGACTTCTTGACTGATATTACCTTTGTTATTGGCATTGCTATATGTTTGTCGTCTTTGTGTTCAGCTAGATCTCGAACTTATGCAATAATTTATAAATAAAACAAAGTCAGCAGCAAGTCGTCAGCGGCAACGTAAGCTCTAACAACGAACCTCTGAAGCCAGTTTGGCTTGTTAACATTGAAGTTTCATTTACTGTTGTCGTTTGTTTTTTCGATTTGTTTATTAATGCGGTAGGAGGAAGAAGAAATAATGTAGAGCTAAAGCAAATTCATGCAAATGGCATTCAAAAATTCGCATAACGGTTAACATGAATTCAAAGGTGAAACTGAAATCAGAGTAAAATTATGGTAGTGTATTCAAAACTACCTCACCAATTTAATTTGACAGACTACCAGTAATTTGTGGTTAATACACCGATTGAGAAGTACCAATACGAGCTAAGTCACCTGAAAATCAAAAAGACTAACAAACATCGCCGCTGAAATGCAAACAGCCGCAACTAATAAAAAATTCCAAATTCAGTTTTTGATTGATATGATGAATTTCATCGAATTAAAACTCCCACATCATTTATGAAAATAAAAAAATTATTGGTCAGGCCTTTTCCATTTCAATTACGATGCTGTTACGTCTTTTTGCACTTCGGGTGACGATATGTTGCATACTTCAAGGGGTACTACGCGAACTCAAGCGTCTACGATAACTTATTTTATTCAAAAGCCATAGCATTTCGCCACGGTAGCTTAAAGGGAGCAGGCTAGTGAATAAAATAGAGAATTTATGCATTGCTAAATAGTAGCAGTTTTCCTTCTCAACAAACTATTTCAAATGTCAATAAAAAGGGAATTCTGAGCACTTAAAAAATGTTGCATAAGCATAAACGTTGCATACTTTTAGGCAGCCGTGATTACAGGGCAAGATACCTACATATGTAAGGCATAGTGGCGTACCATATCTGCAAAAGGGCAATCTTGAAACGATGACTTAGATGTCGGTGCTGACCGCGATTCGTCTTTATGGGACTCTCGCTTCAGGATTCCTATACGATTTCTAACTAAGTAAGCTTTACAAAGAGGATCAAAACTTATCTCAGTAATAAGAAGAGCTGGACAGGCATATCCGACACATATCGGATAAACCAAAACATGGTAACCTGATACGTTAATGGCTCATTGATTGCAGAGGGTACCGCCGAGGTAGGTGTAGTTGGACCGAGGTTAAGATACTCAGAACCCATGAGAAAAGATAATTATGTCCATTTTCAGGCTGAAACATACGCCATAGAAAGGTGCGCCCACTTTAATATCAGGCGAAACTACCTAAATCAGAACATCGCTATCTTGGCTAACAGCAAAGCGGCTATCAAGGCCCTCAGAACTCATCAGTTAGCATCTCAACTGGTGATTGAGTGCCTCGGATAAGCTGAATACTCTTCGTCGGACCAATCGAGTTTGGGCTCGCTGATTTCTGAAACATATTGGTATAAAGGGATAAACTACCATGTCTACAGGAGTACAAAGCACTTTTAGGAACATATAACCTAAAAAGCTTTATGAAATGTTTGAGCTTATCAAAAAATATAAATAAAATATTGAAAATTATTACTAAAAAATTTAAATTTCAAATTTTAACAGTCTGATAAGTTTCAAAATTGTTTGGTGAAACCCGGAATTAATACAAGAAATATAAACTAAAAATATAAATGTATTCCAGTCCACCTACAATTACTCCACCAGCTTCTCACATCCTTCAGCCGCGATTTCGAAATTGTGTTCTCGTTATTGTTAAGCGACGATTTACGCTCCTTACGTCGATTTGTTTTACTTGTTGTGGTGAACATTATTTGAACAACTGTTTTTATTGTATTTTCACTCTCGGCATAAAAATTAATCTAGTATGTTAAGCAAACAAAGTACGTAATTGCCTGCACAGCGAGGTCGCAGTTCAACTCGCAATAATCACAGCTAACGACTATCCGCAGCCAATTGCTGATAATTTATTTAGAGAGCACAGAGTTGATTGCTTTTATGTTTACATAAATGTAGAAGAATAAAAACAATGTTATAAAGTTTATAAAATTACTTGCTCGAGTAATTATTGGCATTGTTAAGACATTAATTGCAGTAACAAGGCGAAGAACAAGAGCGCGGACGATTGCTGCGGTCACACACGGCGTATGAGCTGCGTACAGTGGTGGGCAATGCTTTACTCTTTTCTTAAAGCAGAAAAGTTTTAAAAATATTTTTTTTCTTCACGGCGCAAATTTTCGTTTTTTTGCGATTTATTCCTTTTTTATAAAAACTTCACTTGCAAGCGAAATTTTCACAATTTCTCTACATAAAAAACTTTCTGAATTAAAATTTGTTGCCTTCTTTTTGGCCTTTTTTTATTTTTTCACAAACAATTTATTCTATATGTTTTCAAATTCACTTTCAAGTGCATTTTTTTTAACTTTCTTTCCCATTTATTTTCCCATTCCCGCCCTCGTTGTTCTCGCTTTCTACTGTTCGCGCGCTGTGGCTGTGGCTTTCGTTTGAAAATTTAATTACTACTGTTGCCGGCATTTACTACACCGCTTCGTGCACGCACACACACACTCGCAGCTAGACAAATACATTTATTGCCAGCATTTTCATGATTGCATTTACAACAAAAGCCTCAATTTCAATTTTTGCTAATTTTTTTGTACACTTTTCTACTACGTTTGCTTCTCCTTTGCAATTCTTTTGCTAGCAAACGCTTTCATTTTTAGATTTAATTGCTTTTATGATAGCGTAAAATGTTTGCGTAAAACATACAAAAAAAAAAACACAGCTGCACAAAATTGCAATTATTTCAATTACTTTATTTGTTAGCTATTAGCCTTGATTAGTGATTTGATTGCTGATTTTTCGCATTTGTTGGAACGATTTTTGCCTAAAGCTTTGGCAGCAAATTTTCTTCAAAATTCGTTCGATTCACTTCTTTCCTTGCTTTCACGCTCGCCTTACACGCCCGAGACTTAGACAGCTTGAGCGTTGCACATAGACTGATAGGTGCTAATTAAGCCGTGATTTTCTTGCTTTCTTCGCAGCCGATCGCTGATTATGTAGCGATCTTCAATGTTTCCGCAGCTTCGACGGTGGCTTTGAAAAATTTCGTTACGACTGCTCACAGCGGTTGCGAAGAGATCTAAGAAAAGTAAGTTGCGCTCGAATGGAGGAAAAGTACTAAATATTTATTTTCACAAACAAATACTTTCAAATAATATTTATTCAATTCTTTCATTAAATAAACAGATATAAATATTTATTTATTATTGATTTTTCGTTAAAGTGATAACGCAAACAATTACCAAAGATGTTGAAATCAATTGGAGGCCACTGACGCGCGGTAGAGTGCGCTCTTTGATCTCCCACCTCATAAGGCATAAAATGATAAGTAGCGCTCTATGAGCAGTTCACGTAGCTCTCAGCGAGATAGCGGCGATCACGAAGCTAAAAACATGACGTTTTTTTCTTTAATGAAATAGAACAATCTTTGTAATAAAGAATGCTCAGAAGTGAGCTTTCGGGCAACGTGTGGTAAACTATTCTTACCAATCGCATTAAACACTCAGCAGCCTCTAGCTTGGTATGGCATCAATTCGAAGATTGCTATCGTCTCTGGGGTTTCTATTCTAATCTACTAAAAAAAATATAAAAAAAAGTTAATACAAAAGTTAACGTCGAAATTGCCTAAGCGAAAATGAGCAAGCTAAAAGTGTGTTCAGAGAGGCCGCTAATCGAGCAATTAGCCAAGCTCTATCGATTTACCATAGAAAGTTTCAATTCCTAATAACTTAATTAGTCTTTAATTTAGTGTTAATTGAAACTGTGCTAATTTTGAGTTTGAGGTACGTTTATTGAACAAATAGCAATGGTTGCTTCTGGTCCTGTTTTACAGCTAAGATTCCATCAGGGACGGAAAAATTTATTTTAATATTGTACCTAATTTGCAAAAAAACTTTACCTGTAGGTAAATGCACCTCAACATTAAATACATATGTTTTTATGTGCGTATATATTAAAGAAACTTAGAGCATAACTTTTCTCTTCGATTCGATATCAACTTGTGGAATCACATTAAACAAGTTTGGCTATAAAAAGAATTTCTTCGAGCTGTTCGAGACAAAACCATGTTTTCGAAAATGTGAATCACTTTCCTCCGAGTTCTTCTATATGACGTTTTAAAAATCAATATTTTCTATCTTTGATTACGCCAGACAGACAGTTACGTTACTTTCACCACCCTTTTCCATCACTTGTATGCGCCTTCACAAATGAGGGGGGTATATGACAAGTTACCCACACCAGAAAATGCGTTGAAATGTGAATAAAAATATAAATAAATTTCTTCAGAAACTATCTGACTACGTTCCAAATGTACCTAAAATGGTGTGTAAAGCTACGATTGTGCCAACTTTTCCATCACTGAAGGCAATGGAGCAGCTAACTGCGTGTCGCTAATCGAGCAGCTGACTGTGTGTGAACACCAAAAAGCGGTAGATCAATTAAGAGGTTAATTTACTCAATAAATTTACCAAATTTTTCGATGGTTTTTGACAGGCCGTATTTGGGTCGTATTGGCACTTCAAAAAAAACCTTTGAAATTCTATGATTCTAATTTTTCTTGGCTAAATTGTTTTAGGAGCTACGGGTTTCAAGTAATTGTGATGGGTAGAACACAAGACAGCATTTTATTTTTATATTTGCCACTCCGAATTCAAGTTTGGAACTCACCCGCGATGCAAATTTACATCGTTAGATCTAATATTCGCACTTTTTGGCGACCTTTGAAATTATGTTAGAAATGTAGCCGAATGTCCACCGAAACCAGTAAAATTTTGAAGGGGGTCTACGAGAAGAGAAGAAATTTGGGAACCTCTGGTTTAGACCCTACAACGATAAATAAAATAAAACAATTTCAAGCATGTGTTCTTTGCTTCTATAGCTGAATAGAGAGGTGAAAGCCTGAAAAGCGCTGAACGCCCGAAAAACGCAGAACGCCTGCAAAGCTTGTTATGGAGTTGCACACTTAGTTATAGCCAGGCTTGGGTGACGTCGACTACGCGGTAGCGTCGCGTCTTCGTACGCGCGACGTTGACGGCGAAAATTAAGCTTAATTAAGCGTACTGGATTTCAAGCGAATCAGAGTTAATTTTCACTTCATTTTCGTCATCAACTTCGTGTATACGAACACGCGATGCTACCTCGAGGGTACGGTGCTTCGTCGCCCAGGCCTAGTTGTAACGAATAGCGCTGCTGAGTGCCGAAACCGAGTTCCGAAAGCGGCAAATGTTGGTGCCGGAGAGCTCCGCCGGGCTAGTTAAAAATGCAGATGTTTAAACTGGAGTATAGCAGAAGCTGGGCGCCTGAAAAGGAAGTGTTGAGCTGCGACAAAGAGAAACCGTTGTAATATTTAATCCTAATTGGATTGTGTCCTGTCAATGCACCTACCGGATTTGAGAGCTTTAGGTTTGTGAGCTCAAAGAGATCTCTAAACTGCCGCACGGGTTCCGCATCTGTTCAAGAGTAGTGTACATGTAGTCTCTGGTCGGAGGGTGAAATCTATATGCCAGACATAATAACTACTCAAGTTTTGACCTCTATCGCATCACACCATTTTCTCTGCAATTTAAGTAATCACTAAACGAAAAACTATACCACTCAGTTCTACGTTTTCATGTCTTTACTATTTCCATATCATCCCCTTACTAAGAATACGTATGCAAGTACCTACTTATGCTTACCAAAAGTACTTAAGTATCTACCTATTCGCATCTAGACTACCTCGGTCGGCAGTTGTTTGTATGAATCACGCACAGCTGCGGAGATGCCCATAAAGATATGTACGTACACCGATTGGCTTCGCTCATTTTGCCGACGCCGACATTAGCCGCCAAGGTAGCTGCATTGTAGATTGTCTGTTTATTTCACAGAAGATAATTGCGTTAACTAACTCTATGCGTAATTTTCAGATGTCTGTATGGTACTTCAGACTTCTTTTTGATATCGTCAAAGTAGTTGTTTTTTTTTGGTAGCTATTTTCTTTATTTGAAGACACGAATATTCGTCATGTTTATGTACTTATGACTGTGGTGAGGAGTCTTATATCGTGATTGAGAGCTAGGGAGTGTTTGTGTAGAAGCCGAAGTCTTTTTCCACATTTCCAAAGCATATTTTGTAAAATAAATTTGAAAGCTATTGTCAGAATTGTTCAAAAAATCAAAAATAGCAGACTGGCATCAAGCTTTTACTCCTTTTTTTTTATTTAAAGACCTTAGCGGCATATTTTTCCCACAATTTCTATTTTATTTCTTATTCAATTGTACTCAAAGACCGATTCTATTAGAGAAATGAGTCAGCCACAAAATCTGTGCGAAAATAGAGGAATAAATGTAAGACAATCTAATTTAAATACAATACACGCCCGAGGTCTAACATGGTCCAACCTCAGGCGACCTACATTTTAGTAGACATTTTGCATTTACAACAAGCGAAAAATTTGCATAAGGCGCAAACGCTCGCTTATAAGTAAGCACTCGTATGCACAAAAAAATATATAAGTGTATATGTATAAACAATCTAATAGAATAAATACTGCAAATCGAATGTGCTTTAGGGCAAATATTTGCATGTAGACACGGCCCATTGGTGGCGACAAGCCTCAAGCCGAACAGCGCAGGTAATACATCAGAAACGATCGAGGCGTGTCTGTCACCATTAATTCGCTAGGCTAGTTTAGTGTAAACGACACCACATTTGAAGGCATTTAAATATTTGCGAAAAATCGAGCGAATGTTAAAAAAAAAAATAGAAGCAGTCGCGGGGCAAATGAACTAAGGCGCACTAGCAGTCAAATGCATTTGCATATAATAAGGCATACAATTTAAAAAGAATCAAATTGAAATAACAATTTTACATCTTACTCACCAATCGATTGTTCGCCGGGACGCTCCCAAGCATAGCGCTTGCCATTACAGCTGTAACCGTTGCGCGCATAAGCTTCGCGCATCCAACTCGTCGTATGGCCAAACTTCGCCGCTGGTAGATCCGTCTTCATGGCGAATGTCGGCTGATGATTGTTATTGCGATCGCTGGCCACGCCATAGCCGCATAATTGGCCATTCAGCCTGCCACCTCCACCGCCACTAAAACCACCATCGCGCTCATTACAGCTCACCGCCTTCTTGCGTCGCAACGATGTGCGCTCCAGCGTGCGCTCAAAATCACTGCACACTTCGTCGAGCGCTTCGCGCAGAAACGCGCGCGTCTCGGGCGCATCACGGCGTGATTGATGCTCTTGTTGGCGCTGACGTAGCATGCTATATGGCGCATCACTCTCTGCGCCACGCACTGACGAGCAGGTGGATGAGGCTGTGCCGAAGGGTGAATCAGCGCGGGGCACACTGCTGCTGTTGCTGCCGTAGGTGTAACGCGGCACCGACGAGGAGCGTGGACGCGGCGTGGATGTGCAAAAGGCGGTGGTGGTGTGGGAGGCGGGCGGTATGGGTGGCGGTGGCAAGCGTGGTGAATCGGGTGAGTCATTTTCGTGTGGCACCTGCGAATGGATGAAATGGTTGCGGATATAAATGTGTGAAGTTTTATGGGTTGAGAGATAATTGTGAAAAATTGTGTTTTTGCAAGGATTTTGTTTTCATTACATCGATTTTTTCGATTAGCAATGGTTGAGGAGATTGTACCGCTTTGGCATTTTTCAATTAACTTTTAGGCGGACGACGCAGCGCGCGCTTTTCAATTTCACTTTTAATTTCATTTGCGGTATACTTTTACTTTTTTGTTTATATTCGCATTGCGAATTGTCATATAATTTTGCGAAACACTCTTTGATGTCGCCCACATGGTGAAACCGCGAGAAATCCAAGAAAATCGACGCTCCGCTTTAACAAACAGCCTTTCGATGCGCTTGTTTTTGCTGTTGTTGGCAAAAATCCCCTTTATTGCTGTGAAATTTTGTATTCGAGAGATCAAAGAGAAGTTTTTATGACTCATAAGCGCATAAAATAACTGTATTAACTGCTTGACAGCGGCTAAGTGGGGGAGCCACAACGCGAGGCAATTTTTTTATTGCACTTTTACGACTTAAAGTGTCACTGATGTCACAATTAGCAATGTTTTAAAGAAATAATGGCCTCAGTAATGGCGTGGAAATTTTTAATTAAACACAGGATGTCAGGCTCTTTTTTAAATATAGTGTTTTCAAACAATAGGGTAGGAGAATGGTGTTGAAGGGCCGCGACAGCGTAGTCAAACGCGCGAATGGCAGCCTTCATTAACAGTTTCTTTGACGAAAATTATGCGCAAGTGATATTCTTTTCATTCCAAACTACATGAACTTATTGAGAATTCCATGGAGTACAGAGAAATATGTAAACACGAAAACTCACCCGCCAACAGGGGATAAGTGATGCACTTACACAGATGGCGCTGGGGGTGGTATGCAACACCTGCACACAGGTGGCGCTGAGGCAGCCTCAACATAAATATAGCGCTTTCTTCAATCAACTGTTCATTTAGGNGAATGGTGTTGAAGGGCCGCGACAGCGTAGTCAAACGCGCGAATGGCAGCTTTCAATTACAGTTTCTTTGACGAAAAGTATGCGCAAGTGATTTTTATTGTAAACTACATGAACTTATTGAGAATTCCATGGAGTACAGAGAAATATGTAAAAACGAAAACTCACCCGCCAACAGGGGATAAGTGATGCACTTACACAGATGGCGCAGGTGGTGGTGTGCAACACCTGCACACAGGTGGCTCTGAGGCAGCCTCAACATAAATATAGCGCTTTCTTCAATCACCTATTCATTTAGCGGTCAATAAGTGCCATTTATTTTACTTGCAACTCTCGAGCAGCCGCAACACTTGGTCATCATACCTGGTGGACATTTCAAAGATTCTCTCTCATGCCCCACGAAACAGCCGCGCGCGACCGTCATTACGGTAAAGCAAGACCAACCAAATTCATTTATTGAAAAATCACTGTGTTGCCCTCTAACCCGACATTGAAATAAATTTCAATGCCAGCCTCTAACCCGCCATAAGCCATTAATCAAAACAGCGTTGCCGCTAGCAAATGGGCAAATAAACAAATAAACGCAAAGCGCCGGCAATAAAAACACAGGCATATTAAAATATATACATAGCTCCATTTAAAACCGATCGCAAATGCCAATAATAAAATAAATTGCAAAACGATCCGCGGCTGCCGCGCGTACGCTCCAACAAACGCGCAAAACTCAATTAAGTGTTTCGACTTTGCAATTTGACTTTGGAGTCGCCGCCATTCATTTCGTTTGCACGCCGTTGCGCTTATCGTTTGTGGCATGCCACAAAGCCTACCAGTAGAAGGCAGACAAACATACAGATAGACAACTCACCTCTGGCACTGCCTGCACCCGTGCGGCGGCGTCCCACTGCTCGAACATAGCGTCCAGACCCAGCATGAATTCCATTGATTTGCGCGAGCGCCGGCGACTGCGACGCTGCAGCTCCTCCTCCGATGGCTTAGCATTCGCTAGCGATTCGCAGTAGCGTACAAAATCCAAATCGATGTGGTAACCGTAGGGGCAGCAATTGCAATTGCGCACATTGGCAGCCGCAGCAGCTGTGGCGATAGCCGGATTGCCGGCATACAATTGTGGCAAACGACCTACAGCAAAGCGGGAGATAAGCAAAATAAAAAAAGAATGGTTAGAAAGCAATAAGAAAATATTGAATTTGCGCACAACAATATCGTAAATGTGTACGTTACGTACATACATACAAGGTTTATGGGCAGTCGAGGTAGATAGTAAGTTATAATAATGGTGCTGCCAAGTAAGGGGCAACACTTTGCAAATAAAATACAAAGTACGTGGTGCAGCCTCTCAAATATTTTATGACTTTTCGTAATAAAAATGCAATCGACAAGAAGGTTTATTGTGTACATACATACAAATATTAGGGGATAGAAGCACAAGCGCATGCGCATCATTGTGTAGGGGATAATGGCGCTGGTGTGTACCGGAAGACGTGGAGTGAAGTTTGGATGCATAAATTAATAAATAGCTGCTTGACATGACAGCTTGAATTATACAGATGTCTGGGCATGCGCGCCTTTTTGGGGGGCAATCTTTAAAGCCACGCAGAATGGTTGCCAGAAGCATACACACGAATTTCTCAAAAAATAGACAGGCAAACATAGCAGGGGTTAGGCAATAATTAGTTTAACTTTTCGTATTCTAAAAAGTTTAAGGCAAAGAGTGTGTATTCTTTTCTGAATATCAAGGCGTCTTCTTACTCAAAGTTTATATTTTGAAGAAAGCTCATCTAATGTCCGTACAGGTACCAAACTATCTATCGTGACTCTTTGGCTTAAACTGCAAGTACGAAAAACTCGCTGAGACTCTCAAAGTCAACAGCTACCCACAAAAATAGTTGTATTCCTAACAAAGCGGAGATTTTCTTTTCACAAGGGTGGTTTTTTGCTAATTCTCTCTGAAAGAGTGAGGTATAGGGGAAAGGATTAAGAACGCATCGGTAGAATTATATTTTTACAGGGTTTTCATCCATTGACAAACACCCATACTCTAGCTAGGCTAAAGGACCTGGGCTTTAAGTGCACTCACGAAGCTCATTTCGGACCACACCGATCACAGCACACCGATTTTGGGTGGGAGTGAATTTCTCGCCACCTACTTCCCATCTTCCCACTAGGCGAAGATAGCTTCCGCGAGGAAACCTGCATCAACTTCTAATTCAGTGTTTTCCCATGGAAGGTAGCCGCAATGAAGGAATGCGGATGCTTGCAAAGGAGATTAACATATTTTCTGATAGCCAGGTTTGCAATCACGACCCTAACTCTTTGATGATACGTTCGAAAACCGTCAGGTAACATTTAAATTCTATCACGATGGCATCAGATCACTTCTCTATCAAGCTTATTTGGGTTCCAGACCACAGCGTTATCGCAGGTAACTGAATAGCTGATGAGTTAAAATACAATNTCTATCAAGCTTATTTGGGTTCCAGACCACAGCGTTATCGCAGGTAACTGCATAGCTGATGAGTTAAAATACAATTCAGGAATTCTCAGGAATTGTCGCCGAGTAAGGAAAGGGTTGGGGCTCTACTGGATAGTCAGCTCAACGAACGCTTAGCGAAAAGTTTTGAAATTAATGGTGGCTGAGACCTTCCGACTACGGTAAACTGGCGGCGGAGTAGGTAGCTCTTAATTTAAACAAATGAAATCTCTCTTTACTGGTGCAAGCTCTAACTGATCATTGCCTGATTGAAATCCATGCGCTACGGCTGAACACCACGCCCAGCCCTTACTGCAGCTGTGGTACGTTTCCCCAAACTTAAGGTTTAAACCCCTTGGGTCTCACTACTTTAGTACACTGGCGGTGGAATATAAAGCTCTTAAGGCCGAACAAATCTAATCTATCTTTATTGGTGGAAGCTCTAACTGATCATTGGTCTGATCGAAATTCATGCGCTAAGGCTTAACGTCATATCCAACCCTTACTACAGCTGAGGTATGGTTTCCCCGAGCTTAAGTTTTAAACCCCGTGGGGTCTCACTTCTTTCTCACCATCCCGCACTTCGCTTGCGGAGCTTTGGTGTGAGCAAAAAGCGTTTTTCTACCACGACCTTCTAGGCGGCACCGTTAAACCATTGCCTTACCGTATTTCCCTGCAGCTTTTCTTTACTGTTTGTATTCCTTACCTCTCGTTAATGTTCACACAAAGGGGAGCTAACCCACTAATACAAGTACATCTCCATTCTAACCTAATCGAAATTGCGGTTGTTGATCGTAAAAATAAGCCATAACAGCAAAGCAAGAAGGAGTTGTAAAAAAGATGCAGGACCTGCATTTACAATTGGCAAACAAATTCTAACGAAGAAAAACAACCGTAGTCTCCTACAAATTAGATGTATTGTCTGTTTGCCAGCGATACACAGCGGATCGCCGCACACCCACAGCAAAAGCAAAGACGATCGTCAAACAAAAACACAGCGCAAAAATGCAAGATAAACAAACAGTAAAAAAAAAATACATAGAAAAAAGTTAATACAATAAAGAGTTTATTGTTAAAGCTTGCTCTTTTCTCATTCACATATAGAAGTTAGTTTCAAGGTCACGTTTGAAATTCAATACCATTTACCAGCAACACATCAAGTTTTCTCTCGGCATGAGCGCTCAAGTTCAGCAACATCGACAGGCATAGAATACACAAATCACAGAGGTAAATATGTATTTCTTGGAATACTTTGAAGGTGATTTGGCGCTGGCGAAACGGTAATCGAAGACAGACAAACATTCGTGCGCGCGCACAAGCAACGAAATCGTTGTCGAATCGTGCAATCGGGCATAACTAACCAACAAGCGAAAAGAATTGGTCACATTCGCCATGGGTCGTAAATCTTGCGCATGACAAAAAGCGCTAATAGAAACGAGCAGGTAAAGCCAAGCAAAGTAAAGTAAACAAATGTAGCAACCAAGCCCAGAAAAACATGAGTGCGCAGAGTTAAGGAATGCCACACCTGCCATTTGCTTGCCCTTTTTTGGTACAAGCGGCAAACGATTGTTAGCTGGTGCTTTTTTCGCGGCGCTTCAGAGGAATATTTGCACTCCACCACATAAAAGCGCACACATGTATCAATTTTGATCGTAAAATATATTTTTGCAAAACACTTAAGTCAGCCTTACTCGTCAATTCTTTTAAGCTCTGCAACTGTCTGAATCGTTCACGCTGTACTTCACTTAAAGTTCTTGCAGTCGCTGCGTCCCGCCGTTTGCTAAAATGCCACATGCCGATCCACAACAAAAGCACTGCATTCAAAAACATAGCGCGCACATTGATTTTTACTTTTTCGAAAAAAAACAGGAACAAAAATAAATTCCTATACTTAATTTACTTTTCAAGCATTAACAACCGCAACACTGCCGCACACGCAAACATGGCGCTCGAATCGAAAATCAAACTAACTACCTGACTTCTTGAAAATATTAAAGCTGATATCAATGTTGCTTCCCCCTCGCAACGCGCCCTGCCGCTTAACAGCATTCCGCATCAATTTTTGGGTGTTATTCAGCAGGCATACCTTCATTACGCTGTAATCGTTGTTTATAACTAGAATGAGTTAATGGACGAAGAGTTGTGGCCCTATCTAGCAGGCGAGCAGGGTATGTACGGCGCAAAGCACAACACCGCAAAGGCCGATAAGCGGCTTTTTATCTAAATTATGAAAGCAGTTTAAAGCGTTGAGTTTATCAGTAAAATTATCTCGGCAGTATTTGGGAGAGGGCGATAAGAAAGAAAAGCAGTATGAGCGCTGAATGATAAAAGCTCAATGGCGCTGAATTAAACAATTTTTTTTTTAACAAACTGTGAGCTTTTCAACTAAAACATATACATATTTTCACTAGATTTCTGGAATATACCTGGCGTGAGTATTTGTAGCCATTTTCTAAGAGTAGAACTGCACAAAAGGGGTTTAAGGCATACACAACTTTTCAGCTATTCAGCACTTTATTCAGCTAAAAGTTTATATGTCGGCATGAGCGCTGAAAGCTAAAACGCCTTAAAAGCTTGGTGTGGAAGTCTACTACTACAAGTAATCAAAGAAAAAATATAGCCTTTTGGGTGATTTGAGCATGCTCATGAGTTACAAAAGTTCTGAACCCATTACTCGTGAGCATTAAGCATACAATTCTCAAACCAGCTTTTCGTTATCGATATTAATCTGAAGTTTAAATGCAGAGGATTTTGATAGACTGGATTGAGCATTAAAAAGATAGTATCACTGCTATTTGAAAGAGAAAGATCTGTTTATATTAATTCGGATTTAAGAAAAGACTTCGACGTCTACTTTCCCAATGGAAACTACGGACTATCTCTAATCGTTCTAGACGATGACAAGACTTCTTTAGATCAATCTTCTAAGAACATTTTGAACCATTTTGTAATGAGTTCAAAGAAGTAACGTTTTAGGAACGAGTACCGGATGTATCAAGTTGTAGCATAAAATCCACTCTAGAATTCCTGAACTCACAATCTAAAAAAAGTTAAGAGTACGCACGAGGAATACGGAACTTTCTGAGGTTTTCAAATGCACACATGTGACCTCTAACTAGGCACAAGGCTGGATCGTAAAAAAATCCTCTCATTTCTTCGTATGGAGTCCGACCGAGATATGGTCTTGTTGGGAAGGCTGACTGACTTCTTACCAAGCTGAAACTCATAAATTAAGGATTGAGAGACTTCACTGACGTCACCTTTTCTTCCATTTATTTTTTTTCAAGGACGGGGTCCATCATTGTAATATGTTTACTGGGAATGGAATCCATTGCAGTTATCGGATACGACATACAACTACAGCTTTCTACCAATAACTATCTCGCAAGAGGAGAGATGACACCAGGAAAAAAATGGCTGAGGCCTTGCGACGTCCACTACAGCTGCCATTTAAAGGAACGCAAATTTGGTGTTGGATTTGTGGTAGCAGAGAGATTCCGTCGCCGAGTACCGTCGTTCACCCCGCTGGACAAGCTTTTAGCCACAATCCGCACCAAAGCGAAATTCTTCAACATCTCGCTCATCTGCATCCATGCCCCAACGGAATAGAAGGACTAGGCGTCCAAGGATCTCTTGTATGAGCACTTGTAACGCACATGCGAGCGTTGCTTCCGTCACGATATCAAAATCGTACTTGGCGATTTCAAGATGGTCAAGGAATGGATCTTTGGCGCCACTGTCCGAAAATTCAGCCTCCACGACAAGTCGTCCGATAACGGACTGTGGCTGATCGACTTCGCCGTACTTATCCTTGGCCATTACCCTCACTATCCTTCTGCCAAGGCAGTCAAATGTGTACCAGACTTTGTATTGCATATTTGCAAGTCGAAAGCTTTAAGGGCTGCCTGGCTTCTTCTCTGTAGATCTTTCAGTGAGGCTACGTACAGTCAGGTGAAGAAACTTGTACCCATCCTAGCGCGTATTCTTACCTTGTCAATAGTCGGTACTCATGGAATGACTGAGATAGTCGCCGACACCTCTAGGATAGCCGAATGCCCTGAGATTCCCTCGATTCGCCCTTGTTCTTTAAGTGAATAGTTTTGATAACCTCTGTGAAATTATTATTTTCACTGCTCATTGAATCAACAAATTGCAAATAAATTGCAAGTCTTTTAAGGAAGCAAACTGCAATAAATTTGCAGTAAAAAGAATAAGTGAGCTGACGTCTCCACAAGGCGGCGCGAAATTGAACGCCAACGACAGCACGAATATGTAACCTCAACACTTCCATTTAGCCTGTCAATGCCCAATGGCCAAAAGCAAAAGCGGGTACATATTTTTGTAGCTCGGCAAGCAAAAAAAGAAAGAAGTGAAAAAATCCGAAACAAAATAATTGCAAGTGAAGGTGGCAACGTGTTTTGCATTTTTAATCCGCGAATTTCAGCTTCATTAAAGCGCAGAAAGTGACGGCTGTCCGTCCGATGATAGCAGCTGACACGCTACAATGCCTGTTGCTACCACCAAATAGGTTTTTATCTTTCCGCTTTTACGCTGCCGACCAACAGCGACTACATCAAACTTCATTCATTGCGAGCCTACACATCGAACCATCACAGTCTTTGGTGATGCTGTTGTTGTCAAAAGCTACCGTAAGCATGCATTGTAATCGCCATACATTAATATACGGTCTGCAGAAGCCGCCCACTTAAAAGCCAAGTAGCGGACCATCAGCGCTGGTTGCCGCCGCTCAATGTTCATTGCAGGCTGAGTATTGGCGCTGGCTTGCATTGTTGTTGTGGTTTTTTACTTTCAGACTTTCAATGCATTCAGCTGCTTTTCCTCATTGTCACGTCCGTCTAGCAGCTGTCTTTAGCAACTACGCTACCTTCCAATTCAATTCGACAGACTGCTGCTGCTGCTACTTTTTTTTGGCGCGCCCTAATACTAAACGCCTGCCAACAGTCACGCATGCGCCCACTTGACATTTTTCATTGCTTATTCTTATTTATACATTTCGTATATTTTATGTTTTGTGCTGTTGCTGTTGTTATGCGCGCATTGCATACCTGGCACACTACGGTAGCTTTATTGGCTCAGTTCACAAGCGTCTCATTTTCTCAAATCTGTTTTTCTGCGCTTTGTTGCTTGACTTGATTTTCTGTTCCACGCCACCTCCACAAATAATTTAGTCATTAAATTTGACACACATAAGCACACGTGCGCATATACACACAAACACATGTGCACATACTGCAGCACAAAAACAACAATAGGCCACTGATTAAAAAAAGAAAACATATATTTACTTTTGGTCACTTGGAATTATGATCGATGGACAAGCGAACGTCACACTCGCCTCTTTAAGTCAGTTGATTGGGGCAATGGACCTGGCTTGTTGCTGCCTTTGCTGTTGTTGCGGTCATTGGTTGGTATTGCATTTTGCTGTTGTTTACGCTCGCATACAGTCTTCTTTTACCTTGCACGTTTTCGAGCGCAGTTTCGATTGCATTTTCATGTTTTTTTCTGTTTTCTTTGGTTTTTTTCTCTTTTTTAGGTATTTATTTTTCAATTTTTTTTCTGGGTTAAATGCCACTTATTTTAGTTTATGCGTTTTTTATTTCTCATATCAATGGCGGCTGGTGAGTGTTCTTCTGTCGTTCATAATTACTCTGAGTTTTGGTAATTTTAAATTAAGTTGTACGCTTCATACCTGGGGGAGTTCGGCGCACTGTTTATCCAACCTTAAAAGGCTAATTATTCTTCAAGTTAGTTCTCTTTT